GTAATGATGAAAGTTTTTCTAACATGCTAGTTTGTGTCAGTTCTCAACAATTATCCAAATGTAAAGAACTATTTTATGAATATATTTGTTTTTACTTGAATGCAAATACATACTTTAAAATAATATAAAAATATTTTCATCTTTATGTCAGTTTGTTAAAATGATTTATCGAAACGAAGCACTTAACAATTATTTTATGTGTGATCTTTTAATTTTATCAGAGCATGAATGGGACTGTTAGATATTGGATTGGAATGAGTGAAATCGGAGGTATTGATGGTGAATTTATCTGGTCCGACGGAACTGCAATTGATTTTGTCAACTGGAATAGCGGTAGGTACCACTTAAATTTTCATTTTTCTTAGTTTGAATACTTAACACAATAATCCATGAGAATTACTCTGTTACAATGTAGAAGATATCAAGATCAGTTTTTAGCAATGACTGTATTGATAAAACCGAATTGTTTTTAATTCAGGAGAACCAAATAATCATCAAGGTTCTGAACAATGTGTTGACATGCTTCAGTCAAATGGCAGATGGAATGATGCAAATTGTGGAATGGATTTTGCCGGTTATGTTTGCAAAAAAAGAATAGGTAATCCTCCAAATCCGCCACAGCCAACAGAGCAATGGCCAGGTATTACATAGGAATTTTAATATTTCTATTCCATTGTTTTTTATCAGTTGAATTATAAAATGCACTGTCATGTCAATTTCTGATTCTGGTAGGGTCAGCAAAATATTGTAGCCTACAGGTATTTCTTATGTAATCATTGTTTTTGCTTTTTTGTTGTCTGGAATTTTACCTATTCAATTGCTTAGCCTCTGAATGAATAGTTGACTAATCAACATTTGGGACATTTTAATAGAGAAACACTTGAAAGAAAGAAATTGTGTAGATTGTATCAAATTAATGTATAAGATATATCCATATCGTCAAGGCAACTACATCTGTCACATAACAATATAACATATAAAATGTTATTATTATATAGGTGGATGTCCATCTGAATGGTTGACGTTTGACAATTACTGTTACCAAGTTCACGGAGAATACACAGTTTGTGCAACAGATGCAGATGATTGGAGTGATGGAGAATGTCGTGCGGGATGGTACGATGCTCGTGATAAATGTCGTGATATTGGTGGTGATTTGGTGACGATTCATAACAAATATGAAAATGGTAAGATAGATTTTTAGATCAGTGCTCTTTAAACTTTCTTATCATGAAACGCTTGGCATAGCCAAATTCTTTTGCAATCCCTAGGAACTGAAATAATAAGAAAAGAAAATTTGATAATACAGAAAATATTAAAAAATAATAATAAAATTCACAATACTTTCAATGAGACAGTTTTCATATTTTTGCACAAAAGGTCCAATCTTGGCTCTATTTGGTGATGGTGGGTCTCAGTACTGGTTTCAAATCTTCAAATTTGATCAACATAAGTTAGTATCGATGAATATTTACGCAACCCCATTAAGCCCTTTTGCGATTCACCAGCGGATCAGTAATTCCAGTTTGAAGACCCCCATTTCAGAATATAAATTCTTTAGCCCATTTTTAATATTAATTTCCAATTTCCAAGCTTTTGTTGCTGCACAAATAATGAGGGTGCCAATCAATGTCTGGATTGGCATGAGTGATCTACATTGGTACAACAAATATACATGGTCAACAGGGGAACAAGTCACATACACAAACTGGTACTCAGGTAAAGTTGTTTTCTATTGAAGACAATATTTTTGTTAGAAATGTATTGTGTTATCTCCATAAAATAATGTAACAAATTGTATCGGCGCTTTTTATTAGGTGAACCAAATCATTGGAATGGGGAAGAAAACTGTGTTGAAATGCATCACAGAGAAGATGTTGTTGGAAGGTGGAACGATAATAGATGTGAAAATTCTATTTCGTATGTGTGTCAGGCAAAAAAAGATCCTACTATATCAGATGGATTACAAATAAACAATAATAAAAAATGCCCACAAGGATGGATGCAGGCACGAGTTTCAATATATTTTGGATAAGATTCACATATTTATCTTGTGGGAGACAAGAGCCGAAAAACCGCCTTAATCATATGGCAAACCACGGTTTCCCAAACGATTACCAGTTCATATCGAGTATGGGTTTAGCCAGCCAGGTATTTTGTTTTCAAATGCATGGACTTGATAGTGGAGTCAGTCGTAACCGACCACTGGTTACATGAACCACCTACTACAACAGCAAGCAATCCAGCCATCTATTCCCACACAATTATCTTTCAGGAGATGTGTGTGCGGTGGCAAGCGCATTATTTACTAATATTTTTAATCACAATTCAGATGCGCTTTTCAACACTAAATTCACTTTTCATCATGATACTATTTTTTTAGTATGACACAATAAATGGAAATTACATTTGCTATTATCTGGACACGTCAGAACGTACTTTTGACGAAGCAATGGCAAACTGCCAAAAAATGAAATCTGGTGCAAACTTAGCCAGTTATCAGACGATGTATGAACAACATTTTGTTACAAGTTATATTCGAGATACAACAGCCTGGATTGGAATGACATATGATATGGTATGACTAACAGTCAATTCAAAAACTTGAAATCAATACAAATATCAGTTTTGACCATTTTTGTATCAAACCTATGTATCAGATATCAAATTTGAGGTTTTAGGGATTTCTGTTTGGAAAACTACATTCAACTATGTTCTCAATACACACATTTGTTGTGTTATAAAATTTGTTGAGTTTTAAAAAGCATCAGTTTTAAGTCAGTTGTCAAACAATACCAGAAGCAGGTGCTATGTCATATTCTGTATACAATACAGTTGGAACACTGAAGGAAAAAATCATTAATATCAATTGTAATTTTTTAGTGTTGCAATATCCATATTGAATAGAGAATCTGAATTCTTAATTTGAATATAAATATCATTTATTCATTCATTTATTTTGTACATTTTAAAATGTCTTTATAAATCTTCTTCAAGCTTGTTCTTTGTTGTTACTTTTTACATAGCAGTGCTCATTTATACATAAAGAAAGTATGTCAATATTGTATACATGAAAAAAACGCTTTACAAAACAAGATTAGAAATAAGATGCATCACTCTTAATTAAGTTTTGAGGAAATTCAAATTTTTTTGTACCTAGTGTATTGACCATTTCTGACAAGAAAATCTTCATCAGGTGTAGTAATATTTTTTACCACAGAGGAATATACATATTTTTTAGGATGACGATGAAGATGCAAATCAATGGAAATGGGTTGACGATTGGCCAGTATGGATTTCAAATTGGGGTGAATATGAACCAGGATCTGATCTTAACAAACTTTGTGTGTTAAACAAGGATTCTATTTTGGGATCAGAATGGATCACAGAAAGTTGTGATGCTATGTATCCTTCTGTATGTAGATGGACCACAGGTTCGTTATTTATTTATAGACTTTACATGTTTGCATAACTTTTTATACTTAGTGATGTTTGTTATTAGTGTAATTATTGTTCATTTCTGCAATGATATATTTTGTTACTTTAGAATCAATTCCGCCTACTCCTGGTGAAGTGGATGGCACATGTATAGATAAAACATGGCAACAATATGGTGGTTTTTGTTATAAAGCTTTTCCATCAATGGGGGATCCTATGAAGTGAGTATTATTTGATCAATACATAGTTTGTGTCATACGTTTGCAACAATAGAATTGCGGAATTTGATGAAATTGAAACTCAGGCCAGTAAAAGATAATTATTTTTATATTATTTTAGGGCTTATACTTGGGCTGATGCAGAAATAAAATGCAATGAAATATCAGGTCATCTTGTCAGTATCGGATCAAGGACACAAACAGAATGGTTAAATTCCTGGTCAAATACATCAGAATCATTATGGATTGGTTTGAGAAATAACGGCCAAGGTAAAGTAGAGAAAATGAATGAATATCTGTTCTACTTTTTGACACTAAATATGGAAAATTTCAATTTAAAAGGTGGTTGGTCATGGACAGATAACAGACCTGTTTCGTATACAAACTGGAATTCTGGTGAACCAAACAATGTTGGCGAAAACGGAGAGGATTGTGTGGAAATTTATCCAGATGGAAAATGGAATGATAACGAGTGTGTGAAGGAACAAGGATATATGTGCAAAGTACCTAAAAGTATGAAAAATGTCACTGAGAATCTTGTATACTCATTTGTTATTATAATTATAATATTTACTAAACCTATTGTTTATAGTGATTGGAACTGACAGCGATGGAAATGTCATACATTATCAAACACCTGCACCATATTCAGGAGGTTAGTTTTGTGTTTTTCATTCAGAGATTGTCATTTAGTCATTTAATGGTTTTAAGTTACCATCTGTTAACCAAATTATATATTGTTCCATCTTGGTTATAAAGATATATAATTTGATTAAAAATGAAAATTTAAAATGAATTGAACAATATTCTGCATCTTTAATCGTTTCAGGTGCTAATGTTGGAGTTATAGTTGGTGCTGTATTGGGAAGTATTGTAGCATTGCTTTTAATCGCTGGTGTTGCTTTTTACTATAAAAGGAATGGAGGTTTTGGGTCAAAATCATCAGGTATGTCCTTTCATTTAATTAAAAAATACAAGCAGAACAATTGTTGAAAAGAGTAAAATAATGTTAGAAAGCTTGCTTTAAAAAAACTCTATGCTGTGATATTTCATAACAACAAAATGTGTAATATTTTTCATGTTTCAAGAAAATAATTGAATGAAAATTATTATCATTTCTGATAACAAATGCCTCAAAAATATACTGTTCTATTTTTCACTATCAGGAGCACAGGATCCAATGAGCTTTGAAAATCCACAATATAAAATCTCACCAAATGATGGGGTAAGACTTTTACAGTTAAAGGTTGATGTGTATTTCAGTAGAAATAAAAATAAACTAAAAATAATTTTTTCTTCTGTTGTTCAGATTGAAGTTTCTGGAACCAGCAATGCCTGATATTTGAAATTATTACTAATTTGTCGAAATTTAATTTATTGATTTAATTCTTTTTGTTGTTACCTCTAACTGTTACCTCCATGCAATAAATACTTTTACCCAAATACATTTAATTTCTTTCATTGAACCAACAATGGTCACTATTCAACTAACGTCACAAGTTTTGTATTATTTCAGTGTGTGTGTCGTTTTTTGTGTGAAGTATTAATTTTATTTCAACTGCCTCATTACCATGTTTTAAAATATGAAACCTCATTGACAATTATTCCTGTTTTCAGTTTGTTTTTTGAATGTTTTCACACTAGAACTGCGTAAAATCTTCTTAATTCAAGAAAAGAGGTTGTATTAATCTTTTGTGACCTTGAGTTCCAACAAACATTTGTTTTAAAACAATTAGCAAAGACGTCAATATTTAAGCATGACTGCCCAATATTTTCAACATATTTAAAGAGTATATGTGTTTCTTTCCTGATTGCTAATGAAAGATATTTATGACCTCATTAAATCATCACTTCAAAAAAGTTTTGTTTCTTGAAGTTTGATTCATTATAACCTTTGCTCGATTTTCTGTTTTTTTTTAGATTATATAAATATATATACTACATATATTGCTAAATGTAAATTGATATTATTCAAGCTTGCTTCTTCTGTACATTATATTGTAATATATCTCGAAATTATGGAATAGTATATTCTACTAAGCTGTTGAAATAACTTTGATATCAGGTAACATAGATTTATTTTGTATTATAGTAATTTTTAATATAAAAGTATACCAATATACAGTAATTGAATATTTTTTTTGGAATCAGACTTTTTTGTAGTAAGAACTAAAAAAATACCACAATATAGACCAACCATACTTTTATTCAATTTTATTTTTTACAGCAACACAAAACAATGAAAAAATGTTTAGATCATTGTAGAAAAACATAAACTTTTGTTGATAAACAGATTGTTAAAAACCAAATGTGATTATTTTTATGTCAAAATCTGTAGTGTAACTAGTCAGTAGACTGAATGGTCCACAATAAATCCCATATTTTAAATTTGATTATCTAGAAAGCTTAAAAGTGCTCTTACTAGAATTTAGCTATGGCTATCAGTACTGTGTTTTGGTGTAATTATTTCAGTGTATAATTTCTGTGAATTTCAGTATTTAATATATAAACACAACAGCATCTATGACGTTAAATATAAAAATAAGCAGATCACATTAGTTCCAGACAATATTCTTATAGCCATGTTTAGATTAGATAATTTTTTATTTTCTACAGAAATCATTATTCAACATCAATATGGAAATATCTGGAGTCCTAGACATCTTCAAAACTCCGTTATTTAGTATTAATAATACATTTTACTGTACTTTTGAATAAGATCGAAAAGCGGTCAGCAATTTCATTATCATTTACATGTTTAATCAAGTCAGTTATCTGTTCACAATTGAACTTTCGTGATGTTCGATATTCACGAAAAAACACATCTTATTGTTTGTTTGTTTTTGTCATAAAAAAGAAAGAAACGTCTATTCCAACCCATGAACTAAATACAAAATAGATTGATCTGTATATCCCAAGCTAGTTTGTCTATACAAAATGCCTGTACAATATAAGTGGATGAACCAATCCTAATATACAATGTATTTGTATATATATATAATTTCAGTTTAGTAGGTTATAATTCAATTATAAACATTTATCACTGGGAGATGAAAAGCAGATTAGACTGCTTAATCATATTGCGAACCACAGCCTCTCAACTGGTTACCAGTCTATGTCGGGTAATAGGATCAGTTAGCCAGTTAGTTTTTTCAGATGCACGAATTTGAATAATTGCATAAAACTCACTCATTTGTTTAATATTGATTAGAGTTAACACAGTGATTATACTTTTGCTTTCTTTTAGAGCAATAATTGAGGCCAAATATGCGCTTATGTAGCTACAGCCAATTCCTTAACCATATGTATTTGTAGTACAGGTACTTATAAGTAACACAATCTACATTACAGAATGGACTTGTTTGCAATGTAAAATGAAGATATAATCATTATATGACAACTGAAGACAACAAATTATTTGATACATGCAAATATTACTTCACTGTAAACTGAAATCAATCTTTATTTCTTTCTGAAATTGTTGTCGCATAAAAATAAAGAATTCTATAACCTGTATAACTTTTATATATTTTCCACTTTCCTATAGCAAATCTCTGGTCATGAAACTAACTTTGTCATATTACTCAAGTTTATTATTCAATGATCTGTCATGTCATAATAATCCTTTACGCCAGTTGTTTGGTGAATGTTGAAGATTGGAATTTTGTTTTTATCTACATGACATGCATATTTTTTTGTTTAAGATGATTTATTTAAGAGTTCTGTTTTTATACCAACATTTTTATATATCACTATTGAAATAAGTAATAAGATGTGGAAAGAAATATTGCATAACACAGTCTTTGCACTTTTAATATCAGGTAATATTATTTTAAATGAATATTTTCAAGTTATGAGGCTTGGTCGACCTTGTTGATTTCTCAATGTTGCCTGGCCGTTTTAATTATTTTTTGTCATTTTTCACTGCATTATTGTGTAGTTTTCAATTGTTTTAGGGAATGAATCATTATCCCTCTTTATGTGATTTGTAATAAAACTTCTCAAATTGGAATACTAATGTTGCCAGCCATTTTAGTGCTAAAGTATTTCAAATTTTGCTTAGCAATATATTTTTGGATGCAATATTTCGCTTATATTTTTATTACCTGTGAATTCAAAACCTCACTTCAGACAAGAATTTGAATAACCATCTAATGAGATGGATAAACTGGCTGCATAATTTTCTAGAAGAAATGGAAAAATATTCTATGTCAGATTGTTGTTGCTAGGTTTGATCGGTTTTATTTGGTATGTTCCAGGATGTGTGAGTGTTTGTCCAAGTGATTGGGAAGAAAACAATGGAAAATGTTATTTCTTTTCATTTGGTAAAGTAGCGGTTCTTCCATGGCATCAAGCCCAATCACAGTGTGAATCATTGCTTGGAAACCTTGTTGTAATTGATGATGCATTGGAAAATGTATGTACCCAAACCAACATATGTATAGTATATTGTCATTTTTCCTAATATCATCTATGCCGGTGCTTTTAAACTTTTTCATCACGCCCCATGTGCCGTGGCCAAATTTTTTTGCGACCCCCAGAAACTAAAATATAAATGAGGTAGAATTTAAAAATAACAAAAATATTGTAAAAAAAAAAATAAAAAAACTGACAATACATTTAATGGACCAATGTGCTTGCATATTTTGGCAAAAAAGATTGAATCTTGGCTCTATTTTGGTGTTGGTGGGTCTCAGTACTGGTTCCAAATCTTTCAAGTTGGATTGATATTTTGTTTTAACAAAAGTGAGTGTCGAAAAAGATATTACTACGACCCCTATTGAGGTTTTTCGCAACCCCCAGTTTGAAGTTTTTCGATGCTTGAGACCCCCAGTTTGAAGAGCCCTGATCTATGCTACATTTGTCATTCTTCAATTACTTTCAGGATTTCATTGCAAATCGAATGGGAAATGCTTTCGATACATTTATTGGACTTCATGACTTGAATCAATATGACGATTGGCAGTGGGTGGATGGATCACCATTGACATTCACGTGGGCATATTTACATTGTCAGAGTGCATGTGTTCTCATGTTTTGAATATATTGTTTTTGAGCTTTCAGACTATTATCATATATTGTAGCATAGTAATTTCATACTCGGCGAATCGACGGAGTGGCACATCGGTCTAAGTGTAAGAATACACTCGCCACCGCATCTCTGATTACCCTGTGTGGATTCGCAAGTTCGAATCCCATGCGAGGTTAATAATGTGCAAGAAGATGTGCTGAACTCCTCGTCGCCGTAGGGTGGTTCCTGCAACTGCCGGTCGGTAATGACTTCCTCCACCATCAAGTTCATGCATCTGAAAACAAGTAATTGGCTAACTAATCCCATACCCCTGGGATAAATGTGTAGATCCTATCCTATCCTACTTTATCCTTTTAAATAGGGAATGTATGAATTTTTCAAACGCTTGTTCTTCTTCATTTACAGTAATTGGATTCCTGGTCAACCAGATCACTGGGACAGTGCACCAGGTGGAACTGAAAATTGTGTGGCATTACCTAGAGCTAATAAAGGATTGTGGAATGATCAGAGTTGTTCAATTGCTTCCTCGTATATTTGTGAGCGAACAAATGATTTAGGTAAAAATTTTATTCACTTTTGTAATATTGTACTTGTAATGATGGATTCTATTGTGACATGCATTATTAATCCTTTGCCATATGAGTAAGCCATTGTATCAGCTTTTCTCTCCCCCAAGATAAAGATGTAAATCCTATCCTATTCTGATTTCAGACACCATACCCAAATGTAATGTTCAGGATGGATGGCAAGAACTAATGCCTAATCGATGCTACTTATTTGTCTCAGATGCGTAAGTTGACTCATAATTAAGACATGAAATTGATAAAATACAATTTTGATATATACAAAATCGTTTTTTCAGTAGAAACCATATATAAATAGATTATTTTAGGGCATGGAGGATTAAGTTTGACAATGTGGTGAAATTAGGTGACTCCGACATATGGTGACCAGTCTAAAACTTAGCACTAGCAAAAGCAAATTTGATGTTTTTTGCAGAGTGTCATGGACGACTGCAAATGAACAATGCAAATCAATGGGAGCAGATTTAGTTGCTATCACATCAGATGCTGAACAGAGAGCAATTTCTGTTGAAATAGTTTCAAAAAACAAAAACACATGGATGGGTTTATCAACAGTTGTATGCAATTTGAAATATTTTACATTTAGAATGAAAAAAGTTTATGTTTAGTACCTTTAGTACCTTAGTTTACTCAGTTTTTAAAAGATCATATAATATTTCATTTTCTTGAATTTCTCATTAAATAGCAATCATATTGTAGAAAAATTGAAAAATCTTCTGATTTTTTGGCATAAAGGATAGGATTTTTTGATTTTACCTCACAGAATTTAAACCTGTGAACCCATGCAGGGTAATTGAAGTTGCAGTGATGCTTTCCTAATGCTTATGATTGCAAAGTTATCATAGTAGTAGGTACAGTAAGCTTTTTTTTATTTTTTATTCAAGAATCATGTTTCTCAAGACTTTTACTGGAGTAATGAAGTTGATTCATATTCAGACTTATCATATAATAATTGGGCAGATAGTGAACCTGTTGTCAGTTCTTATTCTACTTGTGTGGAGTTGACTCCTGATGCTGCAAATTGTGAGCTTTGATTATTTGTATAACAATGACTCAGCAAAATGGAATAGGATTTAAATAAAATTTGTGTAATTATTATATATGATTTTTTAATTCAATTTGAAACTGTGTAATTTGGATGGGTTAAACAAATTTAAAAAAAATTTTGTTTCAATAGTTCTATTATTTGATGAAAATACCATGTATGATTTGTGCATTCTTCAGTTCTCATCTATAAATTTCTGTTACAGAGTACTATGTTTATTTTTATGTTTCTATGGTTATTTTTATTTTATTGCCATAGTTTTGTATTTGTTCCTGCTGAATATACATGTAATGTATAGACTCTAGTGTCCTACTTATACTTGATAGATTCTCCATGGAAAACACAACGCTGTGGAGAAGAGCATTCTTACATGTGTGAAAGTGCACCCACAGGTATCATTGTTCACTATCTTATAACTATTCATCTTTCTTGTATAGGGTTCTCATTCATACATTGCAAAGCTTCAAACTTGTCAACAAAATTTTTAAGCCATGAATTGTGTCGAACACCATATATATACTTTTTACTGTAAGCATAAAGATATATCTTGCGTAAAGAATACGCTTGCTACCGCACATCTGAATATTCTTAGTGGGTTCAAAGGTTATGTGCGAGAGGATTGCTGGATTTCTTACCGTCGTAGGTTGGTTCAATTAACCGAGTGCAGTTCCAGCTTCCTCCACCATCAGGTCATGCATCAGAAAACAAATAACTGGATAACTAATCCCATCCTCACTTGGACTAGTAACCGACAAGAGGCCGTGATTCGCCATGTGATTAAGCCGCCTTATAGGTTTTTCCTTCTCTGGATAAATATGTAAATTCTATCCAATTATATATATATATATATATCTTGGTATATCAGTAGTCACCTTTTCAATTGAATGTCTGCGACTTATCTATGCACCAGTTCATATATGAATATATTTGTATATAACAGTAGCATTACAATACATAGTTGTGTATATATTTCTGCGTTTTGGAGTTAACAACGCATAACATATTGTTATTATTTATAAATTTTATCACAAAATTATAGGATCATGTGCTGATGGTTGGAGATTATCAGTCGGAAGATGTTATTTGTTTGTGCTTGCTCAGAATGCATGGGGAACATGGGTTGATGCAAGAGATTATTGCAAAGCCATGGGAGCTAATATTCTAGTAATTGAAACGTGAGTTGTTCATAGGTTCTGACAGATTACATTTGTTTCAAGTACCTTCCTACAGACTGTGTCAGAAAAGTATAATATATCTGCGTAGTAGTCTATTTGTGCCTTATTCTCAATTGCTTTATCACAAAGTTTATAAGTCAAATATCTTTCGAATTTGACAATTTTTTTTTGCTTTTCAGTGAAGAAGAACAGCAATATATCAGCCAAGCATTACCAGACTTTGTAGATGCTGGAGCTCAGGAATTTTGGCTCGGTATATCTGATTCAATAGAGGATGGAAATTTTATGTGGGAGGATGAAGCTAATACACCTGTGTCTTCTGGTTCATACATAAACTGGAATAAGAATCAGCCATTGAATAGAGAGGTAGGCATGAATAGAAAAGAGTGTGGTTATGGTGCATTGTGCTAGGTGTTGGGAATACGCTAGCCAGCGCATATCTGATTACCCTGCTTGTAGGTTTGAATCCTGAAGGGGAGCGTTTATCAAACTGTGTTCCGTGGAACACTGTTTTTACGTGAAGTGTCCCCCGTGAGTGTTCCGCGCAACAGGGATCGAAGTTGTGCCTAATTTATTCGCCATAGCAATCTCGGTCGTACTTCGGCAATTCTGGGTCGTAAATATGACCCCAACTGGTGACAAACAGGCGGACAGGCCTAGCTATCAAAACAGGCTTCGTGCTGGTCTGAATAGCATGGAGTTCTCATCAACCAGTCTATTTCATTACTGTCAGCTCAATTTTTTTAATTGTTGAATCTACAGCAGACTTTAAATTTGACCATACGCTAATTTTTTTAGAAAGCACCAATCAATTTTACCTTCCAATTTCTCAGCGTTCCATGAGGCGAGATAAAAAGAGTAGGTGTTTCAGGGTAAAAAAGTTTGAGAAAAGCTGCTGTAGGGGATAATTATGTGTGAGAGAATTGCTGGACTCCTTGTCGGCATAGGGTTGTTCAGATAACTGCTGGTTGGTTGCGGCTTCGCCCGCCATCAAATCCATGCATCTGAAACAAATAACTGGCACCCCTCCTGTGCCCGGAGTGAACTCGTAAGCGGAGATGAGCGGCTGTGGTTTGACATATGATTAAGCTGTCTTATCAGCTTCACTTTCCCCGGGATAAATATGAAAATCCTATCCCATTATGTTATATATTGAAATTGCTTTTCAATTATGTTTCATTATTACTTTTGATGTGTTATTTTGTATTGAAGCTTCCTAAGCTAATTTTTTAAGTCAATTTTGTGATTCAGGATACATGGGATTGTGTTCAAGTTTACACAGGATTTTATCTCGGAAGATGGGAAACAGCAGATTGCTTTCAACAGCAGCCTTATATTTGTGAAATGGATCCAGGAGTGGAACCAAAACCAATTGTACCCATCGCAAGTATGCTGTTGTATATTTAAATCGGTGTATTAGACCGGGGGTTCTCAAACCTTTGGTGTTATGGATCCCATGAAGAGGTTGACTATTATATACAGAGCCCCACAATTAATTTAAAACAAAAAAACACACTGTTACTTATCGATTAATGTTCTTGAGTAAATTAAAATTACCTCATTCAATGACTCGGATGTATTTGCTGTTTTGTATTTGAACAAATGTTTTATTAATCCAATTATTGAACAGTTACAAAATTACCCAAGTCAGTATTTTAATGAGTAAACGAATAACCCTCGGAGTCCCCAGATTTTCCTATGTAATACACAACTATTAAACAATTGATATAATACACTTTTTGCATTAGACCGAAATAGAAAAATAAACCTAAACTGTCAGTTTCTTGGTCAGGGTTGACTAACATTTCAATCTGGAATTTTTTTTTTACTGCCTTTGTATAAACTTTATCATTTGTACAGACACACACAAAGGATGTGATCCAGGATGGTTATGGTTTGATGGAAATTGTTATTACTTTAATTATGATAAAATGATTCAATGGAGTGAAGCAGAACTAAAATGTATTGAAATGAATTCCCACTTGACAAGTGTGCACTCTGGAGAAGAAAATTCATTCATTATAGGTATGGGAGTTGTTTTTTCGGATGCAGTGAATATCTTATTATGTTGTAATCATTTATTATGGCGGCGGTGTGAGCATCATACTAAGCGTTAGTAATATGCTTACCTCACGTAGGTTTGCCGTTTGAATCCCATACAGGTTTTAATCATGTGTGAGAGGATTGCTGGACTCATCGACCACCACAGGGTGGGTCATATAATCGCTGGCCAGTTACGGCCTCCTCTACCATCAAGTCCATGCATCTGAAAACAATTAACTGGCTAACCAATCCCATACCCGACTTGTACTGGTAACCAGACGAGAGGCCATGGTTTGCCATATCTTTTTGGCCATCTTATTGGTTTTCCTCTCCCTGAGGATGTAAAACTTACCTTTTAATTCAATAATAATAAGTACCGTATCCATCTTATTTGCTTGAAATCCCGTTCATACTTGTTATCATACATCATTGCATTAAACATTCTTTTCAATTTCTTGTTAATTATGGAGTGTATATTTAGATCACACCAGTGCTAGTACCTGGATTGGAGGACATGCTGTTTTGAATCTCTATGCTTTTCAGTGGTCTGACAATTCACCATGGGTAAGTAAATTGTTGTGTCAATAAATCTTTGCAATTTTACATTTTTTTAATCTTTATTATCAATTTTTTATTTCAGGATTTTACCAACTGGGCAGCTGGAGAACCTAATAATCTTGATGTGAGTATTTTGACCTTTTTTTTATGAGTTGAAAACAGTTAATATTATCTTATTAATTCGATGAATGTAGTTTGAGTTTTAAAAATATATGCTTTATGAATGTGCTTAGTTTTGTATCTTGAATGTTATGAGAAATTTTTTAGTTGAGTATTATTGATTTTTTGAATATTAAAGTCTTAAGAATTTATTTCAATTTTATCATAGCATCTATATGGATTTTACTGAAAATTATATTTGTTAATGTATCGTGATATACGGTACTTTTTATTACTCTGAAACTGATGATGGGTATTGATAAAATATTATATATTTCATGTATTATTTACATTTACTAAAATTTCACACTCTTTATTATAGCAAGGATGTGCACAGTTATGGGATGCTGCAGGGTATATGTGGGATGATGCCGCTTGCACTGTATTAAAAAATTATGCCTGTAAGAAAGCTGAACAAGGTAATACATGTGTATTTTTTTGCATCTAGTATGAATTGGTTAAAATGTTTTCAATATGATGATGTATTAACCTTTGATGCTTGGTTATCATCATTTAAGGATATATTTGCCATTCTACAATGTGATTGTGGGTAAGGAGATGGTGTTACTCCATATGCAATTAAATAATACTACTTATGAAAAAGACTAATAACTCTAATGGGAATTGAAGGTTTCTTTGTTGCAAATGGGATCAGATATGGAATTGTCATGTCTGTGAGCCAGTGCTCATCAAGAATTGGTTAATTGTTACATCATTCAAACTTCAGCTTCTGTTCGAAAAATACTGATATATTTACATTCTTGTAGTAACTACCGGTACATATAGCATATAAGCCGACCTTGCATATAAGCAGTCCCCCTAAAAACGGCTTTGAAATAATGAATTTATAAAATTCGCATATGAGCCGACCCTACAAATCATAAAACGCCGTATGCACCTACTACAGTCAATGATATTCAATTCAGATTTAATATTCAAATATCGCTATTTGCTACCTTCTAGTATTCTTTTTAATGTTTATATTGATATGGAATATCGCACACACATTCCAGCGCCCTGTCCACGTTTTGATTGGAAACATTTTTCGGTTATTATATCTTATGTTTTATCGTAATCGAAGACAGCGCATTTCGGCAGACTAAATTACTGCCGACATGAAAGGATTTGAATCAGCACCGACTTGAAGTACATATAACACATCGAGGATGTTTTTGATTGAAAATATTTTACAATTATTATTTTATATTAACACAGTCAAGATATCCTGAGCGACCACGGCAATAAATCTAAAAGCAAATTGTGTCGTAATTAATTGTTTTAATCGATAGTGTCCGAGCTTAACAAAATATTTTTGAATTTCCAGCCTATGAAATAGCTCTTACCGTATATAATCGCGAATAGGCCGAGTTTAAAACTCAAAAAAAAAGTTGCCAAACTAAGGGACGGTCTTATTCGCTCATAACTCAGATTGCATCAAAAAATCGGCTCATTCGCGCATCAGAATTTGATCACGTAACGAGATGATATTATGCTGACTTGCCGGTAATTCCAAAAGCATCAAACCATACCAAGTTCTCACGATAAAAAGCGTGCACGCACACACAAAATCGCTTGTGAAGGTGGATTGTCTTATCATACAGCTGATGGCTTGTACAGTCTGTGATTGGTTGTTTAACATGTGACGCTTGTACAGTCTGTGATTGGTTTGTTTTCGCTCGCTTGTGCAGGTGTGATTGTCTTATCATACAGCTTATCATAGAAGCAATTAACGGCGCGCGACTTTTTAATCACCTTCACGATATGTTATCCGTTAAGGGGCGGTGATAAGGACTCTTATCGAAATGAACCGCGTTGTGGACGATCAAAGGAAATTGTTTTATGCTGACTCAGGGACTCTCTTAATACAAATCACGACGCATGAAAAGCAATATAGACTTTATTAACATGAATTTACAAGTAAGAGTTACGAGTAAGAATCTACGGCCGTCGCTAACAAACAGAAATGATAAATGTGAGAAATATTTTTGTTACAACAATTTTGGTTTCTTCCTGCGCCTTTCTTAAGGCGTCTGGCGTGTTAAAATTCGTAGCGATTTATAAGAATGTGTTAATACACATTATTTCTTTCCTTGAAATGGACAAGGAACAAAATAATTACCGTTGTGGCGATCAAAGGAAATTGTTTTATGCTGATTCAGGAACTCTATTTTAAACTCCCGACACAATCATGACGCACTGAAAAGCAATATAGACTTTATTTAACATAAATTAACAAGTAAGAGTTACGGGTAATAATCCACCTACAGCCCTCGCTAACATGCAAAAACGATGAACGTGAGAAATGTTTGCGTTACAGTAATTTTGTTCTCTTTCTACGTTTTTTTTTGAGGCGTCCGGCGTGTTCGTAGGACCGCCTAATGTGCGATTTTTTATAAAATTGCCGTTTTAAGGTCGTTTTTAGGGAGTCGGCCTATTCGCAATATAGGCGTAATTTCGAGAAAATTTGGTAAGTATTATTTAGTATCTATCGCGAATGTTATTTGTTAGCTTGGCGTCGTTAATGATAATATCATTCAGTTTTAGTTTGTGGTATCAATTTATGAAAATACATTTAGTTTATGCGTGATCAGAGGTATGCGCGTAAAAGGCCGAATTTTTATTGCAATCAGAGTTATCTGCGTATAAGCCAACCCCTTAGTTTGGCAATTTTTTAGTTTTGAACTCGGCTTATATGTGAGTATATACGGTAACATGCCTGTTATTGCTGTCATAGCGTAAACATGCGAACGATCACATGTATGACAATCAATCCCAGGCTGTTATCTCTGTCATAGTGTACCAAAAGCTGCTTTGCGTGTGTGAGTGCTCACTCTTATCATGAGAACTGAGCATGGTTTGAGTTGTAGCTGTTGGAATTAAGTTGGAATAATAATATTTTGTTTGAATGCGATCAGAGTTATGCTCAGATAAGCCGACCCTTTTGTTTGATAAGAGTTATGCGTGTATAAGCCAAATTTTTAGTGCATTCAGAGTTTGCACACATAAGCTGCCTTTAGTTTGGGAACTTTGTTTAAGTTACAAACTCGGCGTATGTGCAGAGATATATGATAAGTCTTTCATTATATAAATTTTTCATTTCCAGACTGTTGGGAACCTCTTGGAATGGAAGACAGAAGAATTTTAGATGCCCAAATAACATCATCTTCAGACTGGAACGCAAATCACGCAGCTCGTTTTGGAAGACTCAATAATTATCCAGATGGAAGCAATATTGGTGCCTGGGCTTGTGGTGGCGGTAAGCAATTGATCTTGTTGTGGTAAGTCAAAGTGCATGGCAAATATAAAATCTCCATTGTATTTTTGCACACAGACACACAACAGCCTGATGTTGCATGGTTTCAAGTACAACTTGTTCCTCAACGAACCGTGTTTGGTATCACAACTCAAGGTCGTCCTAGAGATCATGATCAGTATGTCAAGTCATACAAAGTTTCTTATTCAGATGATGGAAATAGTTGGACTTTTATAAAAGATAACACTGGCACTGACAAGGTAAATGATGCGGGATGTGTCACGCTAAAGAAAACAACAAATAAATGTAAATTAATATTACCAGTGCCAGTTTTTAGACTGAGAATAACTAAGAAAATGGAATCAATTTTGGTGCAAGCAATAATGCAAAAAATATAGGATGGGATTTACATATTTAAACCCGGGGAGAGCAAAGCCAATAACATGGCTTAATCGTATAGCAAACCACGGCCTCTTGTCCGGTCACCAGTCAATGTAGGGTATCGGTCTAGTTAGCCAGTTGTTTGTTCTCGGAAGCATGGAATCGATGATGAACGAACATAATTGTCCAGCGGTTTTGTGAACTGCTCTACAGCGGCAAGGAGTCCAGCAATTCTCTCACACATAACTATCCTCGAATGGGATTTGAACCTGCGAACCCACACAGGGTAATAAGAGGTGCAGGGGCGAGCGTATTCCCAACACTCAGCACAATGCGCCACACCGCTGAGCCTATACGAACGATATATGCTATCGTATCAAAGATTCAGCTAAAATATATTCTAATCTGTTTGACATGTTTTTCATGTGAGAAAAAAAAGATTTTCATATAAATTTTACTTTTCGAAGAATTGTGTTATTTTAATATCTTAAAATAATGTTTTGTTTATAGCACTTGTTATACATACTGTACTATTATTTTAGATCTATGTTGGTAATACTGACATGAATTCAAAAGTCACTAATAAATTGCCAGATCCGATTGTAACAAAATATATTAGAATATGGCCAATGACCTACTTTGGACATATGTCAATGAGAGTTGAATTACTTGGATGTCAAGACGATGGTGATGATTTACCAACTATATCACCACAAACAGGTAACATTTTTTTGCAACTGATTAGAAATAGTAGGTAGCAAATATATAATCATTTAATAACATCAACAATGTTATACTGACACAGCTGTGAGCGCATTGTCCTAATTGTTCATATTACACTTGCCATCAGCGTGAATGTGGTTACCCTGAGTGTTTCGCAGGTTCAAGTCTAGTTGGGGAACTTTAGAAAAATAGGAGAATTGCTGGAATCCTCACCGCTATAGGTTCGATCACGTAATCGCTAGATGGTTATGGCTTCATTCATCATCAGAAACTATTAACTGGCTAATCCCATACCTGAACAGTCTAGTGATCGGACAAGTGTCCGTGGTTCTCAAGATGATTGGGTGTCTCATCTCCTTCCCTCTCTTCAAGATAAATATGAAATTTCAATTCTCATGCACTTAGTTGTGTTTCTCAGGGCAAATCCTAAAAAGATATTGGATCAGCTTATACCACTATATAAAAATGATTTATTCATATAGATTTACAGATTACCTACCGTATTTCCCGGATCTCCAGAAATGAAATGTGTTGCTTCATCAATTTAATAGTGATCAATTTAATCTGTGATTGCGACAGTATAAATAGTATCTCTGCTGCAAAATACCAACGCAATCCGTGGACATAAACATGTACTGCTTTGATTCGTATTTTTGCAAATTAAAAAACATATCTGAGCTGTTGCAGCAACACTTATTCTGCTCCACCACAATGCTGTCACTCATTATTTTAAGGATATCACCGTAAGAAAAAACCTTAAGTCAGCGATAATATCCCACAGAGTAATTTTTTTTTTAAAAATAAATTAAATATACTTTACATTAATTATTATACATATATCATAGTCGGTCAGGCCCCGTCGGTAGTTGTAGAACACAAAATGTTTTTGCGATTTCAATGTAAAAAATCATCTCTAATTTGTCACGGACCATCCCAAAATAAAACTTGAATGGTGTTTTCCTTTTTTTAGTATTTTATAATGCAGCTTTTTAATCAAGAAAATCCGGGTCACCTATTCACTTCTTTATTTATCTTGGCATCTTATCACACATGATCATGTAATAACTTGTTTCTCACAAGTGCCATGGTTGTTTGAGAAGAATAAAGTAATTATCGTGTCCTTGTGGCACAAAACATATGTTTAGGGAAATTTGTGATTTAGCGAGAATAAATGGTGACATAAAAGATATTTACGGCTTAAATAAGAGATGCGCTGACAAAAACAATTGACAACTTTCACAAATTGCAATCCCACGTGTATCGGTAATAGCTGTTCACTCGTGATGCACACACACATGCGGCAACTTCGAATACTCGAATAATACGCAATGATCCGGGGATAAGAGATATCTGCCCCAAATGCGAAACCGGCCCACATGATGTCCCACATCTATTCATCTGTTCAGCCAAACCAACACACTCAACAACAAGGAATCTATGGGAGAAGCCGATCAAAGCCGCTATGTTCCTGGGTCTTCAAGCACAGATGGCCAAAGAGTGTTAACAACAACAACAACAACTTTAAATATGATATTCACAGCGTTGAAATTCCAAATTTACAGCGCGAGAAGGCCAATTCATTTACACTGGCCTGATGGGTACATTATAGGGATGCTATCGCGGAATATATTTTATGGTCCAAAATGAATAATAAGCCCACCTCGAAAAAATGAAAATTATCATACTAGCCCAATCAGGCCAAAAATTTGGGTCTAGAAAAGCGACTTATTCGCCGGGAAATACTGTATATTATTTTAAACACTGTACAGTGAAGAGCAAATTTATACTAAATAAATGCAAAACATTTTGATTGTGAACATATAAAGTTTTTTATCTTGATTCTTGTGTCATACTAATACCATAAGCTTTTATTTATGTTGATTTTATCTGAAATTTGGCATCTACATTTATTAGAATGCACCAGCGTCAGTTATCAGGACCGATTAGATTGTGGATATCCTGGAGTCACAGCAACAGAATGTAGAAATAGAGGATGCTGTTGGGATAATGGTGTTCCTGATACTATTTGGTGTTTTTACAAACAAGGTAATGTCACATATGATGAAAGTATTTTTTATTTCTCATTCAAAATTTTTAAAATTTTTTGGAAAAACTTTCGATTTTTTATTCGGTATTTCAGATGATTATGATCCCCGATGTGGCAAAGATTGGATTTACGATCCTGGTGGCCAATTCTTTTGTTATCATTTTAATCCTTATAAAATAAGAGACTGGCAAGATGCTCAACTTCATTGCTACAATCTTGGAGGAGATTTACTCAGCATTAATTCAATGTTAGTATGCAGCTTATGTATTTTCTCTTATATTAATACATGATTTATCAATACAAGTATCAATCTTTCGAAATATTGGCCTTTTTACTCAAGAAATACTTAATTACTCAAATATGTTCATAAAAAAAAGATTCAGTAGGTATTGATAAGAATGGCTCATCATATATTGGACTGAAATATACAGTAGGTGTTTAGTGACTGAAAATATTTGAATATTTTTTCATTGTTTTTCTAATTCAGGCATGAGCAATATTATGTTACTGCTCATGTAACTGGACTTGTGTCAGCATCTGCTCTCTGGATTGGTGCAAACCAGCTGGACAAAAGTGCAGGGTGGAAATGGACAGATGGTGGACCATTCAATTACAAATATTGGCGTAGCGGTATTTTTCTATGGGCTTATATTTTCTACATTATATTATTGTTTGTATGTATATGTACCACTTCTAGGATAAATAAAAAATTCACATGCAACGAAAGACCAATTTCTAGATCAGCATCTTGTAGTCCGTGTCGCCTTATTTATAAAAAAAAAACAATCTAGTCAATTTATTGACGGTGCGCTTTATTCCTACCACTAGGCATATAAACGTGATTGTAAAATGTTATTGATGTGTTTACATTATATTATTACTCAGAGTTTCCATTATTGTGGTCATGCCTATTATTTATTCCTTCAATACCAGTGACTTATTTTTATAGGAGAGCCAAACAACTGGACAGGTGAAGAAGATTGTGTTGAGATGTATACATATGATGGAACATGGAATGATAATCCTTGTTTTTATCAACGTGGCATTGCTTGCAAAAAACAAAGCAATAATTTTCCAATTTCACAAGATGATGATGGTGAGTAAAGTGGTATTTTTCGTTGGCCTGGTCAACTGATGGAACAAAAACTAAATGGTTTATATTTTACTTTTCATGGAATAATGTTTGTTTTTTATCTTTCACATATACAAGTGTTGCTCTTTCTGACATATTTTCAACACTTATAAATGTATTTTCATGAAATTTTGTAATTAATGTAATCCGTTGTCAATACATCAATATGATTAATGTAATATACAGCACTTTTCTGACAATATTCAGGTAACTATGTTGAAAACATTTGTGAAGGAGAAACTGGAACTCTGTTTTGTGGTGGAAATTTGGTTATTCTTGTTCATCATGCTTCATATGGAAGGAATAATCCATTAACGTAAGAATTTAATAAGCCTATGAAATGTTTCTGGTAGTGTGAAATTATGTAAAAATAGAAATATTTTAATTGATTTGCCATTTATTAGAAAATATCAATATCCTCTTGAAATCACAGTGGTATTCTGATTGCTATTAATTATTATCGGTATGCATCAACATATTGTTAACAGACAAAGCTGAGAAATCTAGTCACATAGGATGTACTGCAACATTTTTCCAAAATCTTTTATAATATACCTACCAACACCATACCAATGTATCAATGTTGCCCACTTGTTATTTTTGTCAATCTGAAAATATGTCATAGGTTATTTGAAAAATTTTAATATCATGGACATTATGGGTTGTTTTAGAAAATTGTTCCTTTCCAACTGCTGAACCAATCAATACCTTTCAAATGTTAGTGCCGGTAGTTATATTATTGATAATTGTCCATTAAAAGGCTTTTCCTAATATTTGTTTATTTTTAATTTCATATCGGCTCTTTAAGGAGTGTTGTTTAACCTCAAATTTTGCTCTTTTTGCAATATCTAAACCTTGTTCTCTTATTTATTATCAATTAGTTTATTTTACTGGAAACATTGATGTGACCAGAATGGATTAAATATGTGAATTGCATTGTTTACTGTATCAACACTTGGATTACTGTCACATTAGATCATACTCATTATAAGATGAAGATTCCGATATAACTATTTAGTTTATCAACAGGTGTCACTTTTATCTGACCGAGAAAAAAAATATTTACAAACTATTGATTCAGGTGTGGTGGAGGTGATGCTGTTCCATCAGGTGGATGTCATACATCAAGCTCATTTGAGCTGGTATCACAACAATGTAATGGTAGATCCAGTTGTCAGCTATCTGCAACAAATGAAAATTTTGGAGACCCATGTGTTGGAACGTACAAATATCTGAACATTATTTACAGCTGTGAAACAAATAGTAAGAACAGCTTAAAATCTTCAGATTGATATGATTTAAATTTGTGAAAATTGCTTTTTGTAGATTTTAACAACATTTATTAAAAATATTATATTTATTTTATAGCATGCTTGGAACAACTAGGTATGGAAAATGGAACAATTTCTGATAGTATGATATCGGAATCATCATCTATCGATAGCAGTCACTCTGGAAAAAATGGAAGATTGAATAGCGCAAGATCTTGGGCAACTAATGGAGGAGAAGGTGCGTATGTTATATTGCAATGCTGATTGAAATAATTTTCTAATATTCCCTTTATTAATATTAAATTATATTTATATTAGGTGCTTGGATACAAGTTTTATTACCTAAGCATCAAAAAGTTTCTGGAATAAAGATACAAGGTGCAAACGACGCTGATAGATGGGTTACAACATTCAAGATTTCCTATGCTAAAGATGCATCTAACACGGAATGGATAGAATATGAAAATTATGACAATATTGTGGTGTGTATTTGGTTTCAGTATTTCATAATAATTTTAAGGTCGAGGGTTAAAAGTAGTAATTTCAGAACTTTTCAGCTCTTCAGAATGGCTTTCATGTTAGCAGCTGGTTTGGTATAATTTCGTCAACAACCCAAGTTCAACTATTTAGTATGTATATCTGGTGTGAACTACTCCCATACCCGAGTGGTAACTATTTGTCTTTTTTCTTCCTGTAGAAAAATATAAAGTTTTGTCCTATATGGTAGTTGGAGTTTGAAAATTACTCAGAAATCCATAATGTATTTTATTTGTGTTTTAATCCATTTCTTTGCCCTAATTTATAACTTAAAAAATATTTTATTCACAGAACTAAAATATCTGATTAATTTCAACAGGAAGTATTTACTGGCAGCAGTGATAAAAACACAGTAAATACTGTATTACTGGCTGAAAGAGTTTATACAACTGGCATACGTTTATATCCTGTAACATGGAATGGTAATACAATTGGAATGAGAATGGATATAATGGGATGTAATCCGTTCCGTAAGTTTATTATCAAGTTCTTTTTTCTGAATTTGGGACAATGTTCAGTATATTAGTTTGTTTGTATTTAAGTATACTACCTACCTAGTCATTTTTATTCATTTTCTCAATTCATGATAATCAAAGGCAAGTGATTATGTTAATAACCGCTTAACCAAGTACATGAGGTCAGTTATAAGACATTTATTTACCTGATTGTAGTCCCTATTTTAACAACTGCAAGACAAATGTACTGCTTTAGTGACCGAAAAGTAAATTGTCTAAATCAGAGATGTGCAACCTTTAATACAGGAGGGCCAAATACAATAACTGTGTGAAACCGTGGGCCACACCTTATTTAACATTCTAATAGTTGCAAGCAAAAAAATTTTAGTTATTGATGACATGCGTTGTTTGCTTCGCACAATCTTGTTGTTCGGCATTGTACCGTCATGAGCATAGATACTAAATTAGACTCAGGTATAGGTTTCGCAACACAAAGGGATTGGAATTACTCGCAATACCCCATTAAACAAAATTAAAAACTCTTCGTGAGCCGGGCCGCACAGTGCAAACCATTCAAAATTGGTCGTACAACCCTGGTCTGAATAATTTGAAAGTTCATTAATTATTTTTAGTTTTTTAGTCACATAATCATTTAAATAAATACTCATGTAAATCTCCACAGATTTTACAAACTTTAGCCTATTAAAGTAGGCAATTTTTTTTTCACACACATTTATATGCAAACTCATATGTTGCAGAGGAAATAACATGCAATACAATTGGTGATGAAATATTTGTATCTGGAGATGCAGATACAGAAACAACAAGAGAAGTAGATTGTCCATCTTATTGTACTGAAATTCTTGCGTATCAATATGACATTTATGGTGATCTAGTATATTCTGGGGTAAGGAATTAATAGTATATCTTATATTGAAAATGCATTGCAATTTCTTATTGTTTCTCTCAATATTTTGGCAGAATTCACAAGTTTGTAGTGCTGCAATTCATGCTGGAGTATTATTAGATCGACTTGGTGGTGCTGTTACTTTGAAAGCAGAAATGGGCCTCAGTTCATACAAAGGAACAGAAAGGCATGGAGTACATTCACAAGATTTGGACAGGTGAAATTTTCAGGTTTCAGACTGAGTCGACAAACCAAACACATATAAGGATCAGTAGTATTGGTATGGTAATCAATACTCATGCTCAACCCAGTGTAAAACTGGACATGGAACTATCGCTTATCACAAGATTAGGTTGTTTTATTGGCATATCCTTATATCTTTTTCGAGATATATGTTTAATGCTATCTAATCCTGTGTATCCTTTAAACCAGTCCTTCCCGAACTTTTAAAAAGGTACTAAAAAAAGTTTAAAAAAGTGCAATAGATAAAGTGCTTTCTGTGAAATTGGTGTACTCTTTGTGGCCACCAAAATTTGTCGCGTGCCCCCCTGCGGGGTCACGACCTCCAGTTTGGGAAATCCTGTTTTATACTTTTTGCTTTTCCATTCTCTCCGTAGTATAATAACTGGTTACCATTTTTTTAATTTCCAGATATACACCACTCGCCTTTTCTTTTACAAATGCAGAAATGAATTGCCCAACAGGATGGTTACCTTATGATCAATTTTGTTATATGATCATTTGTAAGTAATTTTGAATTATTGTATACCGATAATAGCATAGTAGCCTAATATTGAGGTTTTAATTGGCTTCAAATATAAATACGTAAGAAGATTTAGATATCTGTTTCTGATCTGATAGCAAATTCTGAACTCGGCACCACAATTGCCACATTGTTATGAGTATTGGAAATGCACAGAGCAAAGTGTTCATATCATAAGATAAGATTTAGTTCAGGGGGGGAGGTAAGCCGATAAAATGGCAACGCAAAATGGTAACGCATCTGATTTCCAGTCCACCAATCGTGTATGGGGTTAGGTAGTGAGTTATTTGTTATAGATGCATGGACTTGAATATAAACAACTAATCACACGTCTGACCTGGGCTAGTAACCTGTCGAGAAACTGTTGATTGCCATGATAATGAAATACTTTGGTTAGCCTACTTTTTGAAAAAGAAATAAAAAATTTTATCCTGAATATAAATTTTAAAAAGATTGAATTTTTTGAGCTTGAATTACGGTACCGAAAAAATAATTATACACATAGTTGCCCAAATTCCTTCAAATTATTACTGTGCTATTATTATAGGATTCAAAATTTACATATTTATCCCAGGAGAGATAGAAGCCGATAAGATGTCGTAATCATATTGCAAACTACGGCCTCTTGTCAGGTTTCCAATCCGTATTGGGTATGGGATTAGTTAGCTATTTATTTGTTTCGGATGCATGGACTTTATAGAGGAGGAAGCCGTAACTGACCAGCGGGTATGTGAACTACCCTAATGATAACATATTTATCTGTATTCATAAATGTTTTTCAGCTGATGAAGTGCCGTGGCAAAGTGGTGAGGTTGCTTGTCAACTGATGAATGCAAATCTTGTTTCGATTAAAAATCCTGCTGAGCAAGATTTTGTTTGGCAAGTAATGACACTGAGTGGACAAACAGATTTGTGGATCGGTCTTAGCAGTGTTATTTCAGCCAATGAATATCAATGGACAGATGGAACCTTGGTAAGAAATAAGAATGAATATCAATGACATTTTATTACATCTGTTTATAGTAACTGCATGCTGTTTTACGCTTTTCTAGGTTATATATACTGAATGGGACGTCCGACAACCAGACAGAAGTGTTCAAAGTTGTGCCCATTTGTCTGTTGAAACTGGAAAATGGGATGATGATATTTGTGAACTCCTTCGACCCTTTATGTGCAAAATGTCGAAAGGATATTATACACATGATCCTGGATCAGAACCTACTGTGCCACCAGGCTGTGATGAAGGTAGAGACCACATTCTCAGTGAAAATTTCGAAAACGTTTTGAAAATGAATGATAGACTCTGTTACATAGATATTTATTAATGTTATGGTATCTAGTGGAGAAGGTTTACTGTGGTATCTGTATAATATTGTTTGTCTTGAACTCTCTCTTTCAGGTTGGGTTCCATATCACGGGCTCTGTTACTTATTTGATAGACAACCGTTCACTTATCAAGATTCAAAGAAATTTTGTACTGACAATGGTGGGGAACCTGTTGCCATTCTTGATAAGTATGTTCTTCAAATATAAATTTAATCCAGATGTGATAACGATTTTTTATCTCTTAGCATTTATGACATCTCATTTCTATATCACATTATAGAATATATATTTCTACAATTAAATTTCCAACGGTTCTTGAAGTTTTTACTGTAAAAATTATAACATATGATTAATTATGTAGAGAAGCAGCTTAACTAAAATTTTATTGCTTTGATTAGCAATGTGGCACATCAATCTAAACAATAGGAATACGGTTACCATTGCTGGTCGGTTACAACTTCCTCCACCATCAAGTCCATGCATCTGAAACAACTAACTGGACATGGTCTGATAAGCAGACGAGAGGTCGTGGTTCCCCACATGATTAAGTCCTCTTTCCTCTCAGTTGGCTTTCCTCTCCCACAGGATAAATATCTAAATCCTATCATAAAATGATATATCCTTATCTCACAAACAATGTATATGCACGTTTTAGCTCTGTATATTGCAAAAGCTGAATTTATGTACCAAAAACTGTTTATATATTTCTCAAAGAAGCTTAATATTTTTTGTTTAATAATTTGATTGAACATCTTTATCATTTGATGAGATTTACGGTACCCTAGCAAAATATATTATTAGCTTTGCTTCACTGTATGATAGAAATTGGAAAAAAAAATAATAAAATGCTAAGTTCCTGTAACTTGAGAGAGTGGTGGACACACATTATATTTTTATCATTGCCAAAATCGTATACTATACTGGCTAGGCAGTGTAGCGCATCGTGTCTATGCATCTGGAACAAAAAGCTGGCTAACTAATCCCATACGCAACATGGACTGTTGACTGGACAAGAGGCAGTGGCTTGCCATATGACTAATCCATCTTATCGACTTTCCTCTTCTCTCGGATTAATATTTAAATCCTATCCTAAACTAGAATTTTAATTCATTACCAGATATACACAGAGTTTCCTTCACACCATAATTGGTGCTGAAGATTTCAGATGGTGGTTAGGATTGACAGGAACTCCCATAATTGGTGGATCATCATGGACTTGGGAGAATGGGTATCCACTTAATGCATATGACAATTGGGGTTTTGGAAACCCAGGTAAATATTCATTTAGTATAATAGAGAAACCCACAAACTAATTAAGATATTTGGAATAGTTTTAAATTTGTTGTTCAGATATAACTAACGGAGAATGTGCAGTATTTTATGGAGGACAAATTGGTTCTGGTATGTGGTACAGCTACAGATGTGAAAATCATGCTTTTTCTATTTGTCAAAGCCAACGTGTAGGTTACACTCCACCGCCTAAAAGTAAGTGAAATATGAGCATTTTATGTTAATTTGGTTGAAGTATTTTCTGCGTTTCCGAGTGTCTCAAATTTTTTTCAGCAAATAATTCCTTTATCAAATCATCTGGTAAATGATAGGTTGTGAACAATCCCAGAATAATAATAGCTTATGTCAACTGCTGAAGACTGCTATGTCATCACAACTCTTCCTTTGCACCTTTCTGGCTGTCTTTCTTAAAAGTTTTGCTGATTGATTCACTTATAGCTTGCTAAGACCACATTTATTCTAACAGCAACGCCTCCACCCTCTGGTGGCTGTCCTGGTGATTGGTGGACTCCTGATGAAAACAGTGGGTTTTGTTATAGAGCCTACATGCCTGAAGGAAATGCCTGGGATGTTCCAGTGTCTTGGAATAACGCTTATCATCAGGTTTGTGAATATTTCCTGATTAAATGAAACAAAAATTATATGTACAGAAATGATGGTAACTTAAACCTGGAATAACCTTTATTTAGTATCTTAAAAAAGAGAGAATGTGTAATTATGTGTGAGAGTATTGCCAGACTCCTCGAAGCTGTAGGGTAGTTTGCGTCAACGCTGGTTGGTTACGACTTACGACTTCATCTACTACCAAATCCACGCAACTGAAACAAATATTTGATTAACTATTCCCATAATGACATGGACTGATAACCTGACGAAAGTCCATGGTTCATCATATGATTAAGCCGTCTCAATGTTTTTGCTCTCCTTCGGGATAAATTTGTAATTACTATTCATAGTCCGATATTAATTAGCATATCATTGTCCTTTTGTGGATTTGCTGTAAAAACTTGCTGTTTAGTCAGTATATATCATATAAGATAGAATGTACATTATACATAGCTGAATAGCCTTACGGTTAACAATATTTATACTGGTGATTTCAAGTGTCTGGCAACAGGAGGTGATCTGGTTTCAATACACTCTGTGGAGGAAGACACATTCCTTTTAACTTTGTTGAAAAACACCTTGGGTGGAGAATCCTATGGATTTTGGATTGGTTTAAACAGCAAGTAAATTTTACAAAAATTTTATGGTACATTTTAGTTTTTACAGGATTTTAATGTGGAATGGATTGCTGGACTTTTGGCAATTGCGAGATAGTTTGTCTAATTGTCAGTTGGCTCCTCCACTACCCAATCCCATTCATTTGGAACAATTAACTCACTTATTTTGATACATGAGTGTCTGTGGGTCTTTATATGATTAAGCTGATGTACTGGATGGTCAAAGAATACATACCGGTACCAATGAAACATTTTATAATGGGTTGAGGCAAAAATATAAATTATATTCCTATTTAATGGTAATCTAAATCTAATGGAAGTTATGAAATTACAACAAATTAAATTAATGTAATATTACACGTTTTTCCATTTTATTGATATAGAGAAATATTCGATTTGAAAAACTAGAATCTCTAAACATGTATAATTTACTTAACGTCTTGCAACCTATATGATTTGAAAGCTTTTTTTGGGGCCAAACACTAGACGTATGATACAGCATTTGCAAACAATAACACAGATTACAATATATCATTGATGTTACAATTCTCGTTTACAGGGCAACTACATCAGAAATTATTGAAAGTGGCTGGGAATGGACAGATGGATCTGCTGTAAATTATTTAAGCTGGTCACCTGGATATCCTGATAATCTTCGTGAAAGAAGTTGTGTTGAATTGAGATATGAAGGAGATCTTGGACTTGGTGCCTGGAGAAATATTGATTGCAATCAAGTATGTTTGAGGATTATAGATATCAAAATACATATCCAAATATTGAAAACTTCTTCTTATTCATTTTTTGAGAGAGATTTCATAGTTTAATGATCTCAACATGTTAATTGGAAGCATTCTGATTCAGAGCATATATCAATGTTATATCACTTCACAGAATGGTTAGTGATGGAGCATGGTGTGTATATCTGTTAGTATCTTCATAATGAATACTGATAAGCAATATACCATATTTTATGTACCATAAGGCGTACCGGGCAATAAGATGCAACAATAATAATAATAGTACCGGAACTGATTTTGAGCTTATGCAAAAAAGCATAAAGCACTACCCGAAATATACATTACGCTCACCAGCTTATCGCACATTCAAGTTTTAGAGAAAAAATGATCTGAGGTGCGCTTTGCGGTCCGTAAAATACGGTAATAGTAGAGAACACATTGTTGGCCTAAGACAACAGTAGTGCGAAATGTACCTGTCATGCTTGGCCATATAATTTGCTAACTAACTCCATACTTGTCATGGATTGGTAACTGGACAAGATGGCGTGGTTCGCCATATGATTTAGCCGTCTCATTCACTTTCCTCTCTGACGGGATAAATGTAGTAATATTATCCTGAATATTATAGTAGTATTGTACTGTACTGTGTACTTCTATGTAAAACAATAAATTGCACAAGTAGAAACTGATAGATAGAAAAATTTAGTATATCAGTAATATGTAAAATAGTCAGTTTATGGAATGTTTTTATCCCAAGTGTTGGGTTAGGAAGATTAATCGATTTGTCGAAACAACTTTACCAAATATATCTGACGTAGAGTTTTAATTTGGACACAAATTTGCCAACAAGTAGGACTGAAATATGACGTAATGTGATATGGAAAAGATCAAAGTTACAATTAACATATACATGAAGCAAGAGAGTCTTATTATGTAAAATATTAATCTTTTTTATGAAGCAGACAACAGGAATATTCCAGCAGCATATTAATATCTTCAATCTATTTAGCAACGTGATTGGATCTGTAAGTTGAAGAAAGGAATAGACGTTGTTTCTCCAACGGAACCACCAGCAGGAAATCCAAATCCACAATGTGGATCTGCTGATGATGGAACTTGGATTGAATATGATGGATGGTGTTATCTATTTAATGATTTTGAAATGACAAATTTCCATGCTGCTGAAGACGTAAGAATTTGTGGTATTATAAAACACATATATGTTGGTGTGGCACCTTTTTTTTGAATTATTGATTTGATGTTTGCAGACATGTATGACAAATGGTGGACATCTGATATCACTACACAGTCATAATGAACAATCGTTTGTGACAGGACAATTAAAGGTATAGTTAATTTTGTTTTGAGACCAATAATACATGGGAAAACAACAAATACCGATAGTACAATAATTCACATAAAGTTTATTTTTTTCCATGCCTACAATAGACATTCAATCGTACAATAAGATTTTGGATTGGAATGCAAGAATTTGGTGGGGTTGATGGCGAATTTGTATGGCTGGATGGAACTCCAATTGATTTTGTCAACTGGAATCCTGGTATGTTTTTTTACTTCAAGAAGTGAAGCCATATACAGTATAAAAAATTCATATTTATAAAGTGAAAGATGAAAGCTGAAAGGACAACTCGATGATATAAAAAAATCGAGGCTTTTCCTGAATTTGATTAGATAATCAGTTTCAAATGGACATAACAGTCTATAGCATGCAAGTAACATAGCTGAGTTATGTTTCATGAATAGCCTGTTGACTGCGGAGAGACCAGTAATCTTCTAAAACAGTTTTCTTCAAACTTTTTTCATCACAACAAACTTGGTACAGCCAAATTTTTTTGCAACCCACAGGAACTAAAATAAAATTCAATGTTTTCGAAGATATTTAAAAAATAATAAAATTGTCAATACCATCAATGAAACAAATGTGCTTTCATATTCTCGCACAAAATATCGAATCTTGGCTCAATTTTGTTGATGTTGGGTGGGTCTAAGTACTGGTTTCAATCCTTCAAATTTGATCAATATTTTGTTTTAACGTAAGTTAGTGTCAAAGAAGATTTTACTGCGGCCCCTTAAGCACTTTTGTGACCCACCTCAGGACCCCCAGTTTGAAGAGCCCTGCTTCAAATATAATCCTTTTCCACTTGCTCAACTCCTATGAGGTTGCCTGGCAAATTGTTCTCATATTTTGTAATTTCAGGTGAACCAAATGATTACAAAAGGTAGTGAACAGTGTGTTGAAATATTGCAAAGGAATGGTAAATGGAATGATGGAAATTGTGCACTTGAAATCGCCGGTTACATATGTAAAAAAAGACTCGGAGATCCTCCAAATCCACCCCAACCAACAGAACAATGGCCAGGTACAGATGCAAATATGGGTATCCATGTTAACAGAATGACTTCTCATTTATTGTGAGATTAATATATGTTGTGGTTGTTTCCTTCATATTGGAAATTTTTGAAGAAATAATGAACCTAATGGAATAAGGATATATAATCAAAACTAATGATCCAATGCAATACAGGGTGCAATGATTGCTTGTTTTAAAACATTTGGCATATACAGTATTTCAATTGGAGTTATGGTTTTCTGGTTTCAGGTGGATGTCCATCTGAATGGTTGATGTATGATAATTACTGTTACCAAGTTCATGGAGAATACACAGTTTGTGCAACAGACTCGACAGATTGGAGTGATGGAGAATGTCGTGCGGGATGGTACGAAGCTCGTGATAAATGCCGAGATATTGGTGGTGATTTGGTCACAATTCATAACAAATATGAAAATGGTAAGATCGATATTGAGCAGACCAAACATTATGCCATGGCATAACTAAATTTTGTATTTTTTTTCAGCTTTTGTTTCTGCTCAAATAATGAGGGTTCCAACAAATGTTTGGATAGGAATGAACGATGAGCATTGGTATGATCAATATACATGGTCAACTGGAGAACAAGTCACATATACTAATTGGTACACAGGTAAATGCTAGAAATATAGTTTGTTGTCTTTCATAAAACTGACATCCACAAGCTTGTATATTTACTATTTGTATTCTGAAGGTGAACCAAATCATTGGAATAATGAAGAACGCTGTGTTGAAATGCATCATAGAGAAGATGTTGTTGGAAGATGGAATGACATCCGATGTGACAACGCTGTTTCATATGTTTGCCAAATGAAGAAGGATCCAACCATATCAGAAGGATTACAGATTAATAATAATAATAAATGTCCCAAGGGATGGTTGCAAGTAAGTATCGATAGATATATTACGATTACAGAATCAGGGAATTTATTTTATAATACCAAAACGTAATCTCACTAATTTATTTCAATTACAATGTACAGTATGATACCATCAATGGTAACTATATTTGCTATTATCTGGAAATGATGGAACGTTCATTTGATGACTCAATAGCAAACTGCCGAAAAATGAAATCTGGTGCAAACTTGGCCAGTTATCAGACGATGTATGAACAACATTTTGTTACAAGTTATATTCGAGATACAACAGCGTGGATTGGGATGAGATATGATATGGTATGTTTGATCATTATATTAGAACACTTCCATTATTAGTAAAAATTACGTAGATTTCATTCGTTTGTGAGTTGTTTTTTACAAGCAAAAAGCAAATTCTAATATTAGGTAACACATTATGAGCATTGACAGATCATATCATGCCTAAATATTTCCACAATATATTTATATACATACCGGGTAAACCTGGCCTTGCAATGTATGCCGGGTAGAGCCTAGGAGAGGGCCATAGGGGCAAGCAACACGTTGTAGGGGTGCTACAGATCCAATCTGTAGAGTTTGCGTTATTCAAGTGTTTTTTTAATGTGCTTTTATTTCAGTAACAGCTTACATTATGTGTTCTTGTGGGACTGATTGTGGTGATGGTGAGTCAGCAATGGTTGACTGATCTGTTCTGCCAATATGCTCATTGATTGATTTAGCGCTTTGATACAAACATATTCCTTTACTTGCCTTTAATTTATTCATTCTCATGTATAACAACATCTATAATTTGTTTATTCCCCAAATTATTTATGCAGTTAGGTATAAGGGTCTTCATTATCAGAAACTTGCCCTTTTTGTTAATGTGTTGTGATCAAAAAAGAAAATAAAAATAAAATGAAATGCAAAAGGGATGTTCGTTTTTATATAGGATGGTGATGAAGATTCAAATCAATGGAAATGGGTTGACGATTGGCCAGTATGGATTTCAAATTGGGGTGAATATGAACCAGGATCTGATCTTAACAAACTTGTGTGTTGAACAAGGATTCTATTTTGGGATCAGAATGGATCACAGAAAGTTGTGATGCTTTGTATCCTTCTGTATGTAGATGGACCACAGGTAAATAAATCCTGGTAGCTCAAAAATGTTTTCCCTTTTACCACATTCGTCCCTTTATGCCACACTAGGATTAAAATGGAAATGATTTTTCATAAAAATATTACTATAAATTTGCTCATTATGACAATTTATTCATTTCCGGTAGAGTTCCTCTTATATTGATAACTTCTGAAATCACATCAGCTACCTGTGTCTACTTGAATGCAACAATAAATATATTGCAAAAATTTTTCATATTTCGTCTTTCAATCAGTACCGATGTTACTATACACTAAACGATTTTTTTGGATGTTCATTACAATCATATTTATAGAAAATATCCGGCCCACACCTGGCGAAGTAGAAGGAACATGCATAGATGACTCGTGGCAACAATATGGTGGTTTTTGTTACAAAGCTTTTCCATCAATGGGCGATCCTATGAGGTATCAGTATTAATTTCAATATTGAGAATTTTTATATATTGAGTATTTTTTACAACGATTTCTTTTTATGAACAATTTACAAGAAACTAAAATATGATCACTAAAACTTTTCTTAGAATGTTCAATTGGGCTGATGCAGAAGCAAAATGTAATGAAATGTCTGGGCATCTTGTCAGTATTGGATCAAGAACACAAACAGAATGGTTGAATTCTTGGTCAAATACATCAGAATCATTATGGATTGGATTGAGAGATAATGGTCAAGGTAAATGAAAATAAGTGAATGTAATGCTTAATAATGAAATATAGTTCATTAAATGTGATGTGTTATTCTTATAGTTTACACTTCATTAAAACACAATTTTCCGAGAATTTATTTGCAATTGATAGTTCTCTGGTAGTATATGTCAATACCATGCACGTAAATGTTATTTTTATGCTGATTTTTTTATTTTAATTTAACTGAAAGTCGTACCTATTATAGGTAGGTGATAAATCAGTAGATGATCGTTTTTTTTTATAATTGGAGTTACTGGTGAATTGGATAATGTGATAAAGGTATGTTTTTAGATATTAAATACTTATTCTTTTCACGTAGGTGGTTGGTCATGGACAGATAACAGACCTGTTTCATATACAAACTGGAATTCTGGTGAACCAAACAATGTTGGTGAATATGGTGAAGATTGTGTAGAAATTTATCCAGATGGAAAATGGAATGATAACGAGTGTACAAAAGAACAAGGATTCATGTGCAAAGTGCCTAAAAGTATGTGACCAGAATATCCTGTTAATATAATTAGTTTATTGCAAACTTTTCTCAAACATTTATTCACCATGAAAAAATATATCAGATGGGTCACAAACGTATTAAAAATTGCTAGAGTTGATGAATTAGGTTAAATTGACAGTAGTAGTAATGAATGACAATGCTGTTTTTGCTACAGGCATTTATTATTCTAATTTCAGAAATGTCTGTTTTTTTTTCTAGAATACTTGGAATGTAACTGTATGTCTCTAATATAATTTGGTATAAGTTGAGTTTGTTGGCTTACTCACTTTCAGTCTATTACATTTTTTGTATATTAATCATTTGACTAATCTGAATCATCTGCCATTCAAGAGTGTTGAGAAGATTTAACTAGAAGTTGCAAATTCAGATTCTTTTGAAAACTCTTGTTTAGTGAAATTTCTTGTAATCGCATTAAGGTTATAATATTCGCCAACTTTTCTCCAATATGATAGGTTCCATTTACCAAATTTTATTACCCACAATTCAGAATTATAACAGTTGAAATCATATTTCTGAGAATATATTCTGCAATAAAAAATTATTTACATATGGTATATCATTATTTCCAGACCTTAAGATAACTTAAAACATGTATGCATCGCCACTCCAAAGTGAATTTTGATCTAACTGCAATTGCCTAGATTTTTTTATAGTATATTTTAATAATTCATTACATAAAATATTTTCAGTCATTGGAACAGACAGTGATGGGAACATAATTCATTTCCAAACACCAGAACCATTATCAGGTATCTAATATATGTTGTATCGGTAACTACATTTCACAGAATTAAGGAAGAATATTCATTATGACTTCGTAATGCATTTAAAATGAAAATCCAAATCCAGTATGATGTCATATTGAGCTTTCTCCATTGCGTAAAATACGTATTACGACGTTACTCATCTTCAGTTTTCGTTTTTAAGTTCCCTTCGACCCCCCAGACAGGGAATTCTGCGTACACTACTGGATATATATCGATATTGCCATTTTAACCTATGGTGCACTAAACATGGGTGACTTTGTTTAAAAGCTTTAGTTTAGTTTTAAAACAGGTTGCATTACATTATTTCAAGTAATCATCGCATATTTTGTTTGTGGTATAACAATACTATTAACTGTGACAATTTTTTTTTATTTTTAACAGGGCCAAATGCTGGTCTTATTGTCGGTGTAACAATAGCAGTGATTGTTGCTATTCTCCTAGTTACTGGCATTGGATATTATTATTACAGAAACGATGGATTCAGATCAACGAAATTGAAAGAAGGTATGTCAAAAGTGCCCTTCAATAAAAAAGACAGAGAATAAATGTTTTTCTACTGCAAAATAGCGATCATTAGCAAATCGAAACAGATAATAATAATAGGATCTAGTTTAGGAATAACTGTCTGCCATTTATTAGGTTTGAAACCATTTTATTAACATTATTTGCTGTTGATTAAATTTGCCTGCAATGTAAATATTTGCTTACATGTTGTAAACTATATTCTTGTTAATTATGTTTTAGTAAAATAAGATATGTGACATTTACAAAAAATAAAAAATTTGAAAGAAAAAAACATTCTATTTCTATGTAATAAATAAATTTTCTGAAATTATTCTATATGATTTTGGAGTCTTTATGCACACTAACACTGATGTATTTCGGTAACGTTTTGTCTAAACGGAATTACTTTTGCTATAGCCTCCATCAATACTTTTGAATCACTCACAATGGCTAATTTTGCTGTTGCAACAGCCTTGTAATATATTATATATTTTGCATAAGCTACAAAATATGAGAAGGAGTGATAAGTAGTTAGTTCCGCAGAACCCCATCCATAAGCATTGTGTCAAGAGTATTTTATTTGGCATTAGTTTCATATTTGAACATTTTCAGAATTATAAAAATTTTATAGAGAATTCAACTACTGAGATACGAGGATATTTATTTTTATAATGTCATGCTTTATCGCTTTAGAATTGGCAACAAGTTTCGATAATCCTCAATACAGTGTTCATGGAAATGACAAAACGGTATGTAAAGTACTTTTTTATCATCTTGCCTGTGATTGCTTATCCAATTCTAAAATTACAACAGTGGTGTTGGGTCTGACAATGAGTACTGTTATATATTTAGTACCTTAAAAATCAACAGATATGGGAAAATTTATGTAAATTTCAAGGTTAGTAATACACTCGGTGATACCGACTTGATATGGATCGACCAGTTGATTGTGTAAGTCGTAAGATAATGTAGTAGGGGAGTTTGTAGAGATGCAGGAAAAACCAACTATGATGTATTATATCTTTGAGCTTAGCTATCTTTATTTTCTAAAAATATGGCATTGTCCACTTACAAATGTTGGATACTTCATCCGAATGACTCTTATGAGACACTACTAACTTTATTATTATTTCATTTTACAGCTGGAAGTATCCGGTGCAACTGATGCCTGATTTGGACAAGTCAGTGTCTGAATGAATTGTAAAAACGCATCTATTCCTGTTCTGAATATTATCACGTATTTCGTTGTTATATTGTGCATTAAATTGAAATCAACTTGTAAATATTTCTTTCATGTTAAATATTTTTATGATTATTTATTTTGAACTATGCAATGGTAAAAACGCTACTTGATGCTATTATAATTATCATTACATATTTACGACCAAGTGATATAATATTCTACTTGAACTATGCATTTGTCTTCGTCTATGCACCAATTGGTATTTATAAGTACTGTATTTTAAAATTCCATTTCAACGTGCTTTGTTTTGATTCTAAATTGTAAATAAATATGTGATTGATTGCAAATAAACAACTTGAGATGTACAATGGCAGACAATACATGAGTCTAATTTTGGTGCGACTGACAAAACGAGATTCCCATGCAATTATTTTCCTGATCAAGATATGGCGGTTATAGGTATACAATCGCGATGCGCTATTTGCTGTTCTAATGACTAGAGAGAGAGAATTTATTATTTCGTCAACCAGAAAACACATAATATAAAATATAATAATAACAAAATAAGTGAAACAAAAGTTTTCGGTATGACTGGGAGGTAACGATACGACCAGTAACGGTCATCTGAGTCAGTTACCACCCAATACAACACATGAATAAATACATAAATTGACACAGGTTCTTTTTTATTTAACTCTCAATTTATAGAGAACTATTTACAAAACGAGGATAAATCTGATTAAAACGAGGATAAATTTTGGATTCATCTAATCAGGGTTGGGAATTTATTGTGAAAAATGACACATTCATAACAGTAACATAATGTGGTTTCCGTTTCAAATTAATTTAATGGTAGAAAGAGAGGAGTGCGTTTCCGAAATAGATACTTAATTCTAAATGAGCCTATATATGAGAATCAATTAGTACATCATTTTAACACTATGAAAAAATAAAATAAAAAAATAATACTACAATAGTACATAAATAGACATATGCAAATTTAAGCAGATATGATTTATTAAAGACAAAGATGAGACAGTTACAATAGTCCAGAAACCATTTCAATTCTTGCAATAATTCATAGTCTACCCCAAACGTAAACTTTGGTGGTAGTAGTAGGATAAAAAAATTGTCAAATCTATCAAGATATCGCATATCGATAAATTTTAATCACACTCACAGTTAATTAAATAATCCATAACAACCGCTTAACAGTAATTGAAAATGTAATTATATTAAGGAGCATCATATGAATTTCAGAAGTCACTTAGCGGAGCAGTTTTGGGTTACTAGGGTGGTATAACACCAGACCTAATGTTGTGCATAGATAGGATAGCAGAAAATGAATGGAAATGTTTGCAGAATGATAAATGATAATACATGAGATATATATAAAACAGTGGATTGATTTGGTATCCCCCAAACGTAAACTTTGGTGGTAGGAGTATCAAAAATTGCCAAATTTATTAATTTATTGCAATATCGATAAATGTTAATCACACTCACAGTTGATTAAATGAACCATAACAACCACATAATGGTAATTGAAACAGTAATTATATAATATCAACCTAATGTTGTGCATAGGTGGGATATCAGAAAATGATTAGAATTGTTTGCAGAATAATAAATGACAGGACATGAAATATACATAAAACGGCGGATTAATTTGGCAGGATAGACCAAGAATAATATACACAAGTACACTATAATCTAATTGTAGGGCCAAAAGAGGCCAGTTTCTTGAATCCTC